CCCCCCCCCCCCCCCCAGACTATCTTTCTGTTAATGGCCCATCAATGCCATGCAGCATGACTCATTATCCCATTGTGAGATGCTCCACCCAGAGGGAGAAAACCAGCATTCCATCCTGGATATAACCTGAGATTCTGAATACCAGAGGCCTCTCTTTTCCACTGGATTTCCAGAGGACAGGAGCTGCTTAGCCACCACTGGACTTTTCTGAGGAAGAGCAGATCTTTTTTTTTTCCTCTACGGGATCACTGCTTCGGGGGGACTGCAGCCACCATTCTACCAAACTGCTACCACCACCCTGATTAACAGGGTGTCAGGTTGTATCCTGACTCTGTTAGTTTAACCCAGTGTTATCTACCTTTATATTTTTTTTTTCTTATTAAATTGTTATTCTGACTTGATGTCTCCCACTAGTTTGTTTTCAAACTAGCACATCCAAGATGGCAAAATAGCATCTGCTTTAACTAGTCATATCCCCAATCTTTCCTCCAATACTTCCTTTGAACAAATACTTGAAATTCCCTTCAGGGGTCAGATTTGAGTCTGCAGAGTATTGAAGATCAGCACCAGCTTTCTTACCACTAATAAGAGACATACCAGTCTTTAGCCTACTCCAGTGCCCTGTTGTGAATTCAGAGCTTGTGACAAGCAGGAATTTCTATAGCAACATTGAACATAGCAACAGCTAGCAACTCCAGCCCAAGGGAAAGTTCTGAACCTGAAAGTTCTATCCCTAGTGACAGAGCCAAGGCTCCCAGTCTTCACATCCCTGGATGCCACCAAGTCATTCTCATATATGACCTGGTCTCCAGTCACCTGGAATGACAGGCCAGACACAGTCACTTCAGTAACATCAAGCTGGATTGATGCCAGGCTAGAGAACAGCATTTGGCCTCTGGAAGTCTGTGGTGTGCTCATTAAGTAGCCAAAGCCACATCAAGGTTGTTCCAGGCCTACAAGCTCTTTCTATTCCAGCCTAGTGACAGCTGCAGTTCTTACCTAGAAAGTTGTGCCACGGGCAGAGAGTGAGAACCAGTACACAACAAAGGCATTGTTTTTTACAACAGGAACACAGCTAGTACTGTGTCCACTGGCCAGTTGCACAGAGTCCAGGATAACAGCTGGCAAGGTCACATCCCAAGAGACAGCAACGGAAAACTGGCCATCTGGTGTGCAGTGAGCTGTCACTGGAAGAAAAGATATAATCAGTCGAGCTAAGGGAGAAAAGGGATGGAAAGGAGGCTCAAACATCACAGCAAAGACAAGGTCAGCAAGTCCTGCAAGTTCTTCCACCTGTAATCCCCAAAACAAGTGCTAAGCCCATCAAGACAAGTGCAACCAGCTCTAATAGCAACACTGATTCTGGCCATAAACGCAGATCTATTGCAATATACATGAAATGGCTGGACACTTCAGTGGGACAGAATATTCTTAACAACCAAAATCATAGCTGTAAGCCACCTACAGGACCAGTACACATCAATCCTGCTCGGCCAGAGAAGTGATAAATCCCTGTTTACAGCTCCTCCAGGAGCAGGGGAGGCTAGTTAGTTGCTCACATTTACCTGTGCTACCAAAGTAACAAGGCTTCACCCTGTCCCTAGGATCGTAGCAGCAGCCTTGCACTTCACAGTCTCCCTGGCTGATAGGCAAGGAGGGACATGGCAGCTGGTCTTGGCTGAGGACAGCAGAACAGACACTACTGCTTGGAGCATCCAGGGCTGGAAGAAACAGTGGGAGTTTGCAGCTGAAGCACGAGAGTAGGGGAACAAAACCACAGAGGACACTCATGGAAGGTGCCCTGGTAACTCTGGATATAAATCAAGAGAAGTTAGTCTCAGGTGAGGGTCAAACACACGGCCTGCAGCTGGCATGGAAGCCTGCTCAGAAGGGATGTGCATCTCCCCAGAAGAGACTCCCCCTGAAGCCTGGACCACATGTGACCTGTCAAGATAAAATGCTCTACATCAACACTGGTAGTTGGGAAAAATCATTGTACCTAGTCTCTGTCTCAATCCCCAAACGCGCAGGGACTCACACAGTCAGAATATGGCTAGTAGACACAAGAAACATTCACCTACTGACCATGTAAAAGACGCACAAGTCCCCAGCAAGTTGGTGGCTCCAGTGTTCCAACCCTTCTCCAGGGAATCTTCTGCACAGCAGTAAGTCCCCTCTCCCAGGCTGACTCAGAACAGTCATCCAAAAGGAAAGGCAATCATCACCACAAGGTACAAGCAGGTTTCCCAAGAAGCTGTCAGAATCTTACCAGGGAGGTCCACAGGGCACCTGAGCCGCTTCTCTTCATGAAGAATCTTTTGTCCAGCAGCATCTGATCCTTCAGTCCCAACCTACACGAGGTAATTGCCATCCTGGGGGAGAGCCACACCAGTCAGGGCAGCCAGAGCAGCAGTAGCCACAGTCCCAGTAGAACCCCTAAGGTCACTCACCCATTCAAAGACATAACAGCTAGTATAGGAGACCAATACTTTTCTAGAACCATCTGGAGTCTCAGATACCCAGAGCCCACAGTCAGAGTCATTCTGCAGAGCATATGCCTTCCCTTCAGTATCTAGGGAAAGAAGAAACAGCAGCAGGGGCTTCAGCATTCCACATTGAAGATGGGGTCCACTACAATCCTACTTTTCTATAAGAAACAAAGCCCTAGACAGTATTAGAGTCTGGGCCAGCAGGGGCATGTGAGGGAACCCAGTAGCCAAGACTGTCTAGATCCAGGCACAGCACTCCACCAAAACTCTTGGCTGCTGGGTCATACAAACAGCCCCCTAGTTACACAAGATGCACTGAAATTGTTAAGCAACACTTCACAAAAAAATCTGCCCTTTCCTCATTCCAGGCACACCTCTGCACTGTGCAAAGATACAGCAATAGAAAAGCCTCTTGACACCACCCTCACTTATCTCAAGTAGTCAGCGCAAAGGAAGAACTCCCTTCCCAGCCTAGAAGTAAGGTGAGCTGGAGGCTTTCTTGGCCACAAGCCAGAAGGGTGGGATGGTAAAAAACTACCCTGAGCCCCCACAACGAAAACAGGGGGATTAAGAAACCCCCAGAAGAACATAGCTCCAAATACAGTCCTAGACTGCCCTGTGGCATCCATCCTGCTCTCTTGCTAAGGACCATGAAGCAACTACCCTTAGCCTAGCCCTTCTAAATTGTGGAGCCAACTGGGATCAGAAATTCCTGAAGCACCCAGGTGGACCCAGACCAGAAATTTAATGCCTTACATTGCCCTCGCCTGGCTCTGAACTCATCACAATCTGTTTACACCCTTTGAAGAAAACCACAGGGCAGGAGTTAAGCTTATGTCAAGAGATAAGTCTGTATTGATATCACTAATCTGAGAGGAGCTCATCTGTGCAATTTGCTGTAGAGCCTCAGGAGGGTCTTCAAACCCTTTTTTCTCACCCTCAGTATTTTCCACTGCTGGCTCATCCAGGAGATCAGCCTGCTTTTCCCCATGTACCCTACTGCTGCTCTAATTGCTTATTACATGGCATGAGTGCAAGAAGCTGAGTGACAGTGCTCTTTGGCTCTTTTAAAGGTGCCACTGTTTCAAATGCTAGACATAGAGTGCTGACATATAAGCACAGAAATAGCCCTCCACATGAAATCTGTGGGAACCTATGGAGCTTGGGAGGCTTTGCACACCTAAAAGGAGATGATTGCCCTTAAGCAGTCCTGACTCTGGACTACAGTCCTCCTTGCAGTGTGGTTGTGTGGGGATAGCTGTAGGACTGTTCCAGGTCTGGCTGCCAGGTGGCAGGACCATATGCTCTGTGGGACACCCACCCCCAAAAGCTGACAGGTGGGCCCCTAAGATGAGCCTGAAACACAGGTAAGGGGAACCTCTGTGATCCCAGAGAAAGCTCTGCCTGCCAGTACCGATTGCCTGCCTGTAACTGCAATGTGTCTCATGTAGAACCTTCTCCCTGGCCACACATCGGGCTACAGCACCCACACTGAGTAAAAGCCTTATTGTCCATGTTTCCATACAGACATTTCTGCATTCATGCAATGGAGGTGTGAATGTCTTTACACTACTGCAGAGGCGATGCACACATAGTTTGTGCATGCCTTTTGTGCCCTAATTTTTGCAGTGGGAGCACTGGCAGTCTGTGCCATCATGTTCTTCTGTAAGCTGCTTATTTCTCTGGGACTAGACCATCACACACAGTCCAGCAGTGTGTGGGTTAAACGAGTATGTTTTCTAATCTTGACCCTTAATGATGCACTTCCATTGGTGGTCACCCACACTTCTGCTTTCAGCAGACCCTCCAGCTCCCTGATACCTGCACAGCACCATGCATCAGGCGCATGCTTGCCCCTCCATCCAGCCCTCATCAACAAGCATGGGTAGTAGCTGAGTCCAAGGGAGGTGTTCCCTCTGCTCTTTCACTTCAGCCCACAGCCCGTCTTTACAGCTGTACAGGATACCATGATCCCAGCCAGCCAGCTGGGTGAAGAATGTCACTGCCTATCCTGCACACTGCTTATTTAATACACCAACCAGGAGGGCTGTTCCACAAAGTACAAGGCCTTTTCAGCTGTTCTGCACAGCAGGGACTGAAGGAAATGGATCTTGACAGGCTGCCTGTGTGGCTGCTGTTTGAGCAGTGCTCATGAACCGAATGTGTTTGTCCCAGTGCCTGCCTGGTCACTGGGCAGCCACAGTGGATCAGCACCTGGGGAAAACATTTGGACTTTGGCAGGAAGGGAAGCTTTATCTCCGTAGAAGCTGGGGGACAGCTTGCCCAAATCTAACAGCCACTGTGTGACTGCTGAATTCTTCATTTGACTGTATTATATTACCTGCTGATAACTGGGTAAACAATAAAAAAATAAATAAAGTACTTTGGAGCTATAGAGAGAGAGTTTTCATTACACTTTGACCCACCAATACTTTGTTTATGCTGACAAGAAAAATGTCTACACGTACTTGAAGAAAAACTATGTGAAACAACAGTGGGTGTGCTGTAGATCCACCAAGCAATACCCATGCTGAGAATGGTTTCAGGTAAGCAGCTTTTTCTAATTTCTACACACACACTTGACAGCCATGTTCGATGATGTGGACATGGGAAGCAAGAAATGAGCCTGAAATTCATGTAAATGAAATTCTTTGATTAGAAGAAGTTGCTATAGGCAGTAGAAAGCAGCCTGGCTGAGAGGAAACAGGCAGGTCTTTTCCTCGCAAATCTCTTCCTCCTTCAGTAGTTCTCATGCATTACAACAACATGGCTGTAAGCACCAACTTAGCTAGCACTCAAGACCACCAAAAACAGGAGATGCAGAGGATGAAAGTAGGTGAGGCAAATGTCTCTGTAGGCCACTAGCCTGAAGCTGGTCATGACCCCAGCAAGCTAAAATCTTCATGGTATGTCCATCAGGAAAATCCTCTCATGCTAACAATTTTGAGCCTGGGAGATTGGGGAAGGCATAGCTGCAGTGTAGGAGTTGCCCTGGCTGTAGAAAGCTCTCCAGAGACCTGTGGGAAGAAAATGAGGTATTAAACATCACCACCAAGAAGTGCTGTGAGGAGGAGTACAAAATGCTGTGCGCATTGTAGGATTTCCTCCGGGGAGATCACTGTGTGTCTGGCCTGTACCATGAACCATACATGGTACAAAATGGCAGTGCATGGAGGAGAGACTCAGTCAAAACATGTCTCCACAGAAGCTGAACAGCATTTGCAGAGAGCCAGGATATCCACGCCAGGCACCCCTGGGATGAGGGCTGCTGACTGCACAGTGGGCAGGAGTGGCACTTCACAGTGCCACTTTCTGAACTAAGGTCCAAAATGAGAAGGTGCAGGCAGCAAGCTTGCAGGAGATTCTACACAATAATGACAGATTTTTCTTCAACCTTGTGCTTTATTTTAGAAAAAAGGAGGGAAAGCTAAAACACTGGTAGCCTTTTCTTTGAATATCCCTAATGCATGCCTCTGATGAACTTACAGCCAAAGATCCTGGGGAAGATGGAGAGGAGGGGATTTCGGACTGGCCTTCCTAGACTTTCACGTGGATGAAGAGGACAGACCAGCCTGCCAATGCTTAATGTCTGCTAACAGAAATGAGTATTCAGAAAACCCTTAGACACTACTGTGACATGAATAGGCCCATAGTTTCCCACAGTGAAAAGTCTGAGTGGGTCTTATGGATTTTCTTCCCTTGTAAATCCCCAGTGTGTCTGCCAGGGTGGTGAGAATATTTGGAATATAGTTATTTTATCCTTATAAAAATGAGAAATCTTGAAAATATTCCTAGTTCCAGGGCTTTTGTCTAACATATGTCACAAACTGTGAGGTACAGCTGAGAACTGAGCCCTTGTTCCCGGGAACAAGGAAACTTTACAGGGAAGGTGGTAAGGTCATGAATGCTGGCAGCAGAGACCTCATGTTGCAGCACAAACTCCCATGAACTCCACTTTCACCGGGTGGTAGTCCCTAGAGCTACATGAACTTCCACGAACTGTGCTGGCAACATCTAAGCTGATGCAGGAGTTTAGGCCAGCAGATCAGCAACTAGTCCAAACTTGCTGGCAATTCAGATTTTCCACTGAAGTATCAAGTATGGGTCTTTAAGAAGTGTAATGAGATTGAAAAAGAATGACAAATTATTGCGCCTATGTGAGAAAATGAGGACGACTTAAGAACTCAATAGGGAAGCTACAGAAACTTTTGCATGGGACAGAGACCTTCACTACCACGTCTGAGCAAAAGGGAAACTCACATTAATACTGCTGCACAGCAAAACCAGCACACTCCAACCAAGCACCCAGTTCACCCAGGCCCCTCGTTAATTCCCACCAACTCCCACATCTCCTATTCTAGCAACACCTTCTGCTCAGTTGGATGAGACTTATCTGCCTGTGAAAGTGTCACAGCTCAGGTGAGACAGAGGGATATGGCCAGGCTGAGAAAGCTGAGCACAGGCAGTGCCACAGCCCTGAGGGTCCTTTCTACCTGCCATTGCCACTGCTGTTGGGACCTCACAGGTATGCAGACCCTGGAGTAATCTTGGGCAGGAAGCCTCCAGCTCTTTCTGAAATCCTTGCAACACATCAGACATACACTGCAGCCTCCTAGGACACCTCTGGCCCTTCCAGAGGATCAGTTCCTCATATCAGAGTCAGACATCAAAGAGGAACCTGTGCATACCAGCTTCCAGCAGTAATTTAGGCAGGCTTCTTTGGTCGTTACAAGTGCAAGGACTAGTTGCCAGGTTGCACTAAACATACCCAGCCTCTCACAAGTGAAGCTCTGTCTCAGATTGGGAAGCCATTCCCCAGAGACCCTCTCAAGTTCTTGATTTCTCTCTTCTATACCTGCTTCTCTGACTCTTTCTCTTCTCTAGGAGACCTTGATGAAGTCAGAGTCCCAATGTCTAGTCCCTTTTTCTTATGTCTTTATCTTATCTTTCCCAGCAAGTCCTTTTTTGTCTATTGTGATGTCTGGAGACCTTTCTGTCCTTGCTAGATAGATATTTTACACTTTCTTTTGAAACCAGACATCCCTAGGAAGAGAGACTGAGACACTTGCTGTGCACAGAGAAGAACATGTCAGTATGTTCTTTGGCACATTACATGCAGTGCAAACTCCATTGATAATGTCAGGAAGACTTCAGGAACAGTCAGGGACGGCTCAGCCCACTCAGAGCTTGTACAATCAATACCAAAGAGTGGAAAATTTAAATGACACTGAGGTACTTGGAAGATG